TTTGATTGAGCACGATCGTAGTATTCCGGTACCTGAAACAAAGATAACGAGGTATGTTCTCGTCGCCCCTCCGATACTTAAGTTAGAAAGGGAATTATATACGTGAGGTTATAAACTGGAGAATAATGAAAACGCACCTGAATAATGGCTCAATGTTCTGTATTTATAGAGGTGTATGGTGCTTTGCTAGTAGGATTTAACTATATGGGTATCCTTATCCGATAGAGTCCCATGAGAAAGCAGTGTTTGGATCCTACTATGATTAGAAGACCAATTGTTAAGAGGACTCTCTTAGACTTATGAGATGTGGTTTGAAGTATTTTTGTCAAATAAGAGTTCGCAGGGGATAGACACTTTCCTTAGTACGAGGAACGTGGAAGTTGAGGCCTTCAAGGGGATTTTCCCGAGCTATTATTCCCGAGGACATCTTGCAATCTTTGAAAGTTATAAAGGTCGGGCACATGTATCTCGAGGACCCAATACATCCCGAGCACTAATGATCGAAAATCGTAAGACGCCTTCACAAATGATTGGGGATGAAAGTGGTCGGGATATGAAGGAATTGTCAGTATTACTGGCCCCCGTGTACCTATTCTCGAGCCTTTTCGAGGATATGGTGCAAAATAAGCCAGAAGGAAAAGAGCTCGGGTGTGTAAGCTCGAGGGAGTTCTTGAAGACAGTGTTCGCAAGGGCTGACGTGTACTGAGGTAAGCCCTAAATAAGAAAAAGCGGTAAAAAGCGTTATGGGCTGGATGTAGGACACGTGGCCAGATCTGACGATCGGGGTAGTGACCTTTGGGATACCCTCTTCTGTTGCCTATAATACCTTGTTCACTTTTCACTCTCAGTAAACTTCTCTCGCTGATCGTCGAGATCAGAACTTTGGTGGGTTTTTTAGGCGTCGACTTTAAGGTATGACCTCAAGACCTTGAGTTATTCTATAGACACTTTTTTGCCTAGGTCAGGATGTCTAATAGTAGTAGTGAGTCTTCGTCCTCTTCCTCGAGGAGTACCCCCGAGGACAAGGAGCGCTCAATCATACCCATGGCCGTGCCCATTAATGTACATCCTCGGGCACAAGATCCCGACTCCCCTTAGGTACCCCGACTTTCTCCGTAAATTTAAGGAGCATCTAGTGATATCGACGGTTAGGGAGCATGGGCTCATGCCTAAGTGTGATATTAGAATGCCAGGGGTGAGGATGGCTATTGCTCGAGATGGAGAGTTTGTAGTTTTTAGAGACTAGCTAAAAGGTGGATTTAGATGGCCCCTACACCCATTCTTTGTGGCCTTACTGGTCGAGCACAACATGAGCCCTGGTTAGCTCGTGCCAAATGAATGGAGAATGATTACTTACTTTTTTATAGCCTGTACGTACTTAGGTATTGACCCATACATCGAACTTTGTAGAATGGTCTTCGATTTGAAACAGCTGTCTCAATACACATGTTCTGCCTATCTTTCATCTTGAGGAGGTTTCAGGATATCGAGGATGCCAAGTTCATTAAACGGGTGGAAAGAAAAGTGGTTTTATGTCATACCTTAGGATTCTGACTTTCCATTTAGGCCTAGGTGGGTTTTGCCCAACACGACCAGGTTTTGTGAAGGGCAGGCCTATTTCGAGTCTTTAGAAAGGGATAGGGTGATGTTAGAGAACCTCGAGCCTCTTGTTTATGATATAGATGACATTTTGGGGGATGATATTCTCGATCTCGCAGATGTGAAAGGTGCTGAGGGTAGGGATCGTACTTTCGCCTTTTTCTCGTTGACCTGTCTTTGTTAATTATGCTCACGCCAATTACTTGTCTTTTCAGGGATGGCTTTCAATCCTTCAGCTCTTTAACAGGCCGTGACCAAGAAGTCAAGGGCCCCTCAAGTCCGAGCCCCAGGTCAGAAAAGGGGAAAAAGAGGCCTCGAGATTCAGGGCCTGAGACTGTTAGGAGTGGTCCTGGCTAGACATCTGCCCGAGGACAATCCCTGATCATTCATGAGCACGAAGCTCCGATTGCCACTCATCAGTCCCATCCTCGATCAAGGAGTACTCCCGAGGTTGTTGACCTCGAGGATGAGGTTTTTTCTGTGCCTTCTTTTCAAAATCGAGATCCTGATTGGTGTTCACTGGTGTTGAGCATCATGGACAAATATCGAAAGGACCTCGGCTTCGACGAGGGCATGAAAGCTCTTGAATCCCTTACGCTGAAGGTAAGCTCGCTCATTTTACTTAGTGTAATTTATGGATTTCTATGACTTGATCTAACACTTGGATTTTATATATTGCAGACTCTGAGTATTTCCCGAGGTCTTTCTTTGAAGGGGAAAGATGAGGCCCAAAGAACTGCTGAGCTCGAGAGTTCTGCTCAGGCACGCGAGAAGTGGATTGTTGATATGGAGGCTGAGTGCTACCTTCTTCAGAAGGAATGTGATGATGCCAAGAACGATCTACAGAAGGCACGGGAGGAAGCTGGGATGGCCAAGGAGGAGGCCGAGGAGTTAAAGCTCGAGATAGAGCATTTGAAGAAGGATTTCGAAGCTCGTCTGACCGAAGCTCGGGGTATCGCAGTTGAGGACTTCAAAACACCTGATGCGTTCAATGGGCTGAAGGGAGAGTACGCCAACTTTCATGCTTTGAAAGAGGCTCGGGTATTTTTGCGCTCAAAGCTTGATGCAAAGCCCGAGGATTTGAAGAACATCCCAGAGGTTGCTGAAGACCTCGAGCTTTCGGAGTCTATGGAAACCATCGACGACCAGGAGGTCGATGTTGATGGTGAGGATGTGGCGAAAGAGCAAGGAAGCCAAGCCTCGAGAGAACGAGCCGAGGACATAGACTAGTTTCTGTTTTCTTTTTGTTTTTTAATACTCTTGGCTCTTTACTTGTACTGATTGATTATTTTTGAAATCAATGTATTCTTCCCAAGCTTAACTTGCGCTTCTTACTATGTTATTTTGATTATGTTTGCTCGAGCTTTAAGTTCGTTTGAAGACTAAACTAAGTGATGTAACCTAGCTCGACTTTAAGAGAATCCATGACTTGACGCCTAAGATGAATTAAACGGCTCGACGCCTAAGATGACTTGATATCTGGACGTCCTAGATAAATTAAATAGCTCGATGCCTAAGATGACTTGATATCTCAACGTCATAGATAAATTAACATCTCTACGCCTAAGATAAATTAATATCTCGACGTCATAGATAAAGATAAATTAATATCTCGACGTCATAGATAAATTAACATCTCGACGCCTAAGATAAATTGATATCTCGACGTCATGGATAAATCAAGATCTCGACGCCTGAGATAAACTGGAAAACTGCTTAAAAATCGCGATGACTTAATCCGTAGAAGTTTACCAGTTTCAGATAAACGGGTAAACTGGAAATTGTCTCGAGGACTAAATGACAATGAAATTGTCTCGACCTATAGCGTGATTCTCGAGGACAAGGATGGGCCTTTTTATAAGATTCATCACATCATTGATCGGGCACTGTGTGCTCAGGAATTTTACTTGTATTGTTTTCCTTGATAACAATTTCTATGTGTTTTCTCAGGGACAAGGCTTTTCGATTGCTTGCGCGGGGCAAGGTTTTTTGATTGTTTGCTCAGGGCAAGACTTCAGTTGCTTGCGCGGGGCAAGGCTTGAGTTGCTTGCGCGAGGCAAGGCTTGAGTTGCTTGCACGGGGTAAGGCTTTTAGAGTGCTTGCTCAGAGCAAGGCTTTTGGATTGCTTGCTCGGGCCAAGGTTTGAATTGCTTGCGCGGGGCAAGGCTTTAGTTGCTTGCGTGAACCTTGACACGCAGGTCTGACTACTGAAAACTGGAAGAACAAGTTACTTGTAATATATTTTTAAATCCTCGGCATCCATGGTCTTGGAAGTGGTCTTCCTGATGTATCCCTTAAACTATATGCACCTCCTTGAAGCTGTCGTATGACATCGAAGGGTCCTTCCCAGACTGGTCCTAGCTTGCCCGGAGCATGACCTGCTGCTTTGGCCCTTCTTAACATAAGATCTCCAGCTCTAAATCTCCACGTCCTCACTTTTTTATTGAAATACTTTGCTGTTTTATCTTGGTAAGAGGCCATTCTTAAAGCTGCATGATCACGAACTTCTTCTAAAAGGTCGAGGTGTTCAGTGGTGCGTCCTACACCTTCGGGCTCAAGCCTTCTTTGGCTGGGCAACCTGACTTCAACATGGATGGTGGCCTCAATACCGAAAGCCAACATGAAGGGGGTTTCCCTCGTAGCGGTTCTGTGGGACGTTCTATATGTCCAAAGTATGAAAGGTAACTCGTCAGATCAAGAACCTCTTGCATCTCTGATCCTTGTACGGAGGTCTTGCAATATAATCCAATTGGTCACTTCGGCAAGACCATTACTTTGAGGATGGGAAATCGATGTCAAATGGTAATCAACCCCTAGGTTGGAACAAAAGTTTTTAAATTGTGCATTGTCAAACAGCCTGCCATTATCCGTTATGAGGACTTTTGGTATCCCGAACCTGCATATGATGGACTCCAAATGAAAGTTCTCAACTTAGGCTCTAAAATTGTTACTAAAGGCTCGGCCTCCACCCACTTAGTGAAATACTCTACAGCCACAACCACAAACTTCAATTGCCCCCAAGTTATTGGAAAGGGACCAAGGATGTCAATTTCCCACTGCTCAAACGGTGTCGTGCAACTAATGCTAGTGAGGTCCTCTGCGGGAGAGTGGATGATATTGCCGAATCTCTGGCACTTGTCACACTTCTTGACATATTCCTGGGCGTCTTTCTTCATGGTAGGCCAATAATATCCATACCTTATGAGCTTGAAGGCTAATGCCCGAGCTCCTTGATGGTTCCCACATATTCCTTCATGAACTTCTTCTAGGGCCTGGAATGATTCGGAAGGCTTAAGGCATCTGGTGTATGGAAGTATGAGACTCCTGTGAAATAAAACTCCTTCAATCATGAAATACCTTGGAGCTTTGGACCGGATGCTTCTTACTGCTCGAGAATCTTCTGAAAGATTGCCATGCTTTATGAAGTCCACTATTGGGTCCATCCACGATGGCTCATTATCAATATCCATGGCGCCTACGTACAATTCTAACGTGGACTGTCCTGTCAAGCCCATCTATCCCCATGAACACCAATCTTGACAAGACATCGGCTTTGCAATTCTCAACCCGAGTAATTTTCACAATTTCACAACTCTTGAACTTTCTCCGGAGATCATGTACTTTCAAGCAGTATAAGCTCATCTTCTCGTCCTTCCTATCGAACATCCCTTCAATTTGTCACACCACCAACTGGGAATCACTGTAAATTTTGATGTTTTCAAGCTTGAGATTGATGGCAAGTTCCATGGCTATGATGACGGCCTCGTACTCTACTTCATTATTGGTTGCCTTAAATTCGAACCTGAGTGCACATTGAATGTCTATGAGCATGTGCGGGCTTATGATTATGACCCTTGCACCCGAGCCCGAGGAGTTTGATGCTCCATCTACGAAAATTTACCTCATGCCTGTGGAAGATCTCGAGCTACCATCTGGCCCCCGAGGCCTTGGAGTGAGTTCTGCAATGAAGTCAGCTAAGGCCTGAGCTTTGATAGATGACAAGGCTTGAACTCTATGTCAAATTCTCCGAGTTCAATTGCCCACTTCAGTAATCTTCCTGAGACATCTGGTTTCTGAAGAATGTGTTTTAGAGGCTGATTGGTGAGCACTACAATAGGATTTGATTGAAAATATTGCCAAAGCTTTCGTGCTGCCACTATCAGTGCAAGGGCAAGCTGTTCTACCAAAGTGTATCTTGTTTCTGCATCAAGCAGGACTTTGCTTACGTAATAAATGGGTTGCTGGGCCCTGTTAACCTCTTTCACCAAGACACCACTTACTACATTCTGAGACACGGCTAAGTATAAATATAGAGTATCCCTGGGCTCGGGTTTGATGAGGATAAGAGGAGATTCCAATGTCTACTTGAGTTCCTGAAAAGCCTTCTCGCACTCCTCATTCCATTTAAAGCAATGATTACCTTTGAGGGCTTTTAAGAAGGGGAAGCACCTATCTGCTACTTGGGACATGAACCTATTTAAGGCAGTTACCCTGCCTGTCAACTTTTGAACTTCTTTCTTGGTCCTTGGTGATTCCATTACTGCCAAAGCCTGAATCTTATCGGGGTTGGCCTCAACTCCCTGATGAGTGATCATGAAACTCAGAAATTTTCCCGAAGTTATGCCGAATACACACTTCTTTGGGTTGAGCTTTATCTTATATTTTCGTAGGGTGACGAACACCTCCTCCAAGTCGGATATGTGTTGCTCTACGTTCTTACTCTTTACAACCATGTCGTCCACATAGGCCTCGATGTTCTTCCCTATTAAATCGGCTAAGACTTTGTTGATGAGCCTCTGATATGTCGCCCCAGCATTTTTCAACCCGAATGCCATCACCCTATAGCACTATATGGCTGAATCAACCATGAATGAAGTCTTCTCTTGGTCTTCTTCGTCCATGAGGATTTGATGATACCTTGAGAATTCATCTAAGAAGCTATACAACTTATGTTCAGATGTGCTATTCACCAGATTGTCAATCCTGGGTAGCGGGTAGCTGTCTTTAGGGCACACTTTTTTGAGATCTGTGAAGTCGATGCAAGACCCTCCATTTACCACTGGCTTTCTTTACAAGAACAACATTAGTGAGCCAATC